CTAAATGCAGTTGTCTTGATGGTGATTTACTTAAGAAGTCCCTATTGGAAGATATTTCAGATATTTCTAGTTATGTTTGGTTTTGCAAACACTATTTCAGTGAATAGTCTTACACATAAATATGATAACATCTACAGGATAATTATATATAGCCTGTCATTCTGTTATTTCCTAAGGTATTTATATATTTAGGGGTTCAGACATAGTCTTTATTATGCAGTTGTTACAGAATTTTTATTCTTTTACTTAAAGACAGGTGCTGTGTATTAAATTATTTTATATAGACTTTGACCTAGAATAGTGTATAAGTTAAACCCTTTGGATAGGCTGGAGTGCCCAGACTCTACGAGATTCTATTTCTCTTTTATCCTTCTGAGATTTTTACAATCTTTTTGAAGTTCCTGATAATAGAAGAAAAAATTATCAAGATGCCTTCAAAGTCAGAGGTGTTATTTATGCCAGGTTGCAGAATAAAATGATCTTCAATCTCAGGTGAATTTTTAAAAATGTAAAATATGTTGCTTTTTTTTGTCCTACAAAACAAAAGATTTCTTTTTCTTCTTTCGAAAGCATGGGATGAGATGGGGTATATCTCTACCAATACTTAATTGAGCTGTAGGTAAAATAACAGAAAGACATTTTTTGACAATTTTGGTGCTCCATAGAAGATACAGTATGTCAAAGGAATTTTTTTTGTGTGGAAGCAGTGCTGGAGATCAAACCTAGGGCATTTTATATACCAGGCAAGTGTTCTAATACTGAGCTGAACCCTTGATCTCAGAGTTCTTTTTTGAAGATATTGCATGCAAAGAGAAAACATTGGAATCATCCTTTTAATACTAAAGTGGATAATTACTTTATATAAATTTATATATGTATTTATTCTTGAGATAGGGTCTCAGTATGCAGTTTAGGTTGACCTTGAATTCATTATGTAACCCAGGCTGTCTTCAAATTCCTGATGATCCTCCTGCCTCAGCCTCTCAAGTAATAAGATTACAGAGGCATGCCACTATGAATTTAAATATATTAAGGTACATTTAGGTTTTGGTTGGTACTTTGAAAACTTTAATGAAATGGAGCTTTTTTGTCACAACTTTAAAATTTTTCTCACTCACTTTTTGATTATAAAACTGGACAGTTTTCAGTCAGAAAAATTTTGTGTTTTATTTTGTATTTGGAAATTCCACCTTTTACCATGCATGCCATCACTGAGATTAGAGACTCATCCTTCTTGTTTTTCTTTGTAGCTTGCAGGATATCATGATTTTTGGTTTCTGATGTGGATGATCGGGAACTAGAAATAAAAGGCATGTTTCTGTTTCTTCTAACTGGTTCTGAAAAACTGACTCCTTGCAATTCTAGGAAACTGAAGAATAAAATAAATTCTACTAGGGTTTTCAGTATTGATACTAGAAAAAATGATTTTTTTTTTTGGTGGAAATAGGGATTGCACTCATGACCTTGCACTTGCTAAGCAGGCGCTTATACCGCTGAGCTAAATCCCCAGTGCCCCCTCCACCCCCATTTTTTTTTTTTTTTGGTACCAGGGATTGAACTCATGACCTCCTGTTTGCCAAGCAGGCCCTTAACGCCGCTGAGCTAAACCTCTGGCCTCTGTTGTAATTATTTTAAAATAGTTTTTAGAGTTATACTTCACTGTATTAATCTTTTCTGTTGCAAATAATATAATATCACAGACTGGGTGAGTTTGTATAGAAAAGAGGTTTTTTGCAGCTTAGGATTCCAGAGGTTCAAGGTCAAGGGGCCACATCTGGTGATAGCCTTCTTGGTGGCAGAGACTTGTAGTAGTGCAGGACATCACATTTTAAGGGTCTGCATGTATGTATATGTGTATGTGAGCGTGTGTGCACATTTGGTTTTTGGTCTTTCCCTTTTCTTACAAAGCCACTGGGATTCAGTCATAGGTGCTTCATTCTAGTGACTTATTTAATCCTGACTGCCTCCTAACGGTCCCACTTCAGTTAAATTAGTTAGATTAAGCCTCTGCCTTTTCATTTTGCCCATTTTTTGCCATCATTTTGCCATCCTGGTCATTGAACCCAGAGAGTGCTAAGTTATATCCCAGAACATTTTTATTACATTTTGAGACAGTGTCTTGCTAAATGGTGTAGGCTGACCTCAGACTTGTGGTCCTCCAGCCTTAGCTCTTGAAGTGGTAAGATTAAAAGCATGCACCACCAGTCTAGTTTCTACCCTGTGTCTTACAAGATGACTAGACTAAATTTGACATGTGAGGCCATGGGTGAGTACACACTCAAATCATAGCCAAACCTAATATTCATATGCTAAAGAATTCATCCATTGAAACTGCACATTTCATTTGCTGTAAGTACACTCACAGAGTTGTGAAGTTATCACTACAGTCGATTTTAGAACATTTTCACCATTACTAAAGGAGATATAGTTACCTTTTAATTTGCCACTCCCCATTTCTCCCCAGAGTCACCAGCCCCAGTCATACACTGATCTGTCTCTATCTCTAGATTTGCTTATTTTAGATATTTCATGTAAACAAGATGATGCACTATGTGGTCTTTTGTGTCTGGACTCTTTGGCTTAGCGAAGTATTTTTAAGGATAATCCATAGTATATCCTGTGTCAATGCTTCATTCCTTTACATTTCCAGATCATATCCCACTATATGAATATTATTATGTTTTATTTATCCATCTACTGATTGATGAATATTTGGGTTGTTTCCATTCTGCAACTGTTATAAATGGTTTTGCTTCAAACATTCATGAACATTTTTTGTGTAGATATTTTTTGCAAAGTGAGATAACTGAGAGTCAGACATTTCACTTTATTTATGTATACTAAGCATACTTTACCACAGAGTGCCATCTCCAGCTCCTGTAGACATAGGTTTTTATTTCACTTGAGTATAAACCCAGAAGTACACTCTCTGGGTCATGTGATAACTGTGTTTTAGCTTTCCAATAATGGCTGTAGCATTTTGCATTTGTACTAGCAAGGTATAAGCTATAATTTCTGCATAGTCTCCCCAACATTTGTTGTTATATCTTTTTTGATTATAAATTTTCCTACTAGTATAAATTACTATTGCATTGTAGTTTTGCATTTTCCTAATGATTAACAATATAGATTATCTTTTCACATGCTTTAATGGGCATTTGTGTTTCTTTGGAGAAATGTCTGTTCAAATCCTTTGCTCATTTTATTTTGTCTTTGTATTATTGAGGTATAAGAATTAGCCAGACATAGTGGTTCATGCGTATATCCTAACACAGTAGAAGGCTGAGGTAGGAGGATCACAAGTTTGAGCACAGCCTGAGCAACTTAGTGACTTAGCAAGACGCTGTCTGAAAAAAGAAAAAGAAAAAAAAAAAGAATTATAAGAATTCTTTGTACATTCCTGATAAAAGTTCTTATCAAAGTGTGATTTTCAAATGTTTTATCTCATTCTGTGTATTATCCTTTCACATTTTTAAATGTCATTTGAAGCACAGAAGTTTTAAATTTTGGTACAATTCAGTTTATATATATTTATTTTCTGCTTGCAGTTTTGTTAGAAACCATTGCTTAAGCCAGGGTTACAAACCGTATTCCTATGTTTTCTTCTGAGTGCTTTATAGTTTTAGTTCTGTGGTTTTAGATCAGGGATCCATGTAGAGTTGACTTTTTTTATATATTCTAAGGAAGGTATTCTGCTTCCTTTACTTTTGTGTGGAAATCCAGTTGTCCCAGAGCCACATATTTGCTGAGGAGCCTTCCTTTTTCCATTAAATAAATGAGGCACATTTGTGAAAAATCATTTTAACGTAATTATAAAAATTCATCAGAGCACTCATATATACTTCATTGATCTCTGTGTTTTCCTGTATGCCTGTGTCATCCTGTCTTGATTGCTGTAACTTTTTAGGTTTTGAGATCAGAAAGTATGAATTCTGCAATACTGTTTTTTAAGGTTTTTATTGGGAATTTTTTATATGGGGGACTAATGTACGGCCTTTGCACTGAGCTATATCTCAGCCCTTTTTTATTTTTAAGCTTTTTAGTACAAGAGATTGAACACACGACCTTGCGCTTGCCAGGCGGGCGCTTACACCACCGAGCTAAATCCCTGGCCCTTTTACTTTGTATTATAAGACAAGGGCTTGTGTTTGGGTGGAACTGGAACTTGTGATTCTCCTACCTCTGTCTCCCAGAGTGCTGGGATTACAGGTATGCACCATTGCTCCCAGCTTCGGAACTTTCTGTTATTATTCTGGCCCCTTTGCCTTACTGTGTATTTTAGAAATCACTTGTTAATTTCTGTATAAAAACAGAGGTGATACTATGGATTCTGTTAAATCTGTAGGTCAGATTGAGGGGTATTGCTATCTTTAATGACATTAACTTTTTTCTGTCTTTGAACAAGAGTCTTTCAATTTTTTACATTCAGAAAATCCTAGTGTTTTATAAAGAATAAAAAAATGTTTATTTTGTTCTGGAGATCGAATTCACAACCTTGTGCTTGCCAGGCAGCCGCCTATATAAAAAGTACAAAATTTGTATTTCCTTCAGTTTATTCCTCGGTGTTTTGTTCTTTTTTGATGTTGTAGGTAGAATTGTTTCTTAATTTCAATTTTGGATTGATGTAAATGTTTACAAATATGATTCAATTTTATATATTAAAATTCATATTTTTTAATATTACAAAATTATTTTAGTAGCTTTTTATTGCATTCCTTAAGATTCTCTGTATACAAGATAATGTCATCTACATATATAAATAGCTGTACTTCTTCCTTTTTCATTCAGATATCTTTTTTCATGTTGTAATGTTTAGAACATCTAGTGTACACTGAATAGAAGTTGGCAAAAGACATGACATCTGTCTTTTGGGGGAAGCTATTTAGTAATAATGATTTTTTTTTTTTTTTTACCCTCAGAAGAGTGAAACACTACTTTGTTTTGAGGACTGATTTTTTTCTTTTTGATTGACAACTATTTTTATATGTTTGCATACACAGATATGTGCTGATTAGAAGGCTCACTTGTGCAGTGCGGAGGATAAACAGTGCCTTACAAAAATGGGGTTTGGGAGTGACCTGAAGAATTCACATGAAGCTGTATTAAAATTGCAAGACTGGGAACTACGATTACTGGAAACAGTGAAGAAATTCATGGCTCTGAGAATAAAAAGTGATAAAGAGTATGCATCTACTTTACAGAATCTTTGTAATCAAGTTGATAAGGAAAGTACTCTCCAAATGAATTATGTCAGCAATGTATCCAAGGTAAGAAGCGTTAATTTAATAATTTCTTATGTATAACATCATAACTGTCCTTAAAATAGATCATACTATTGAATGAGCCTACCCAAGTGAGTTTGTAGAGTTCTAAGTTTTCTGAGTACAGTTTCAGCTGCATCTTTGACATTATCCTATGCTTTGCAGTTCAGAATACATTTTAATTTCCCTTTTGATTTCTTTTGGATTCATATGTTCTTTCAAAGTCTTGTATTCAATTTATAAATACTTTTTTTTCCAGAAACCTATTATCAATTGTGAGTTTAGTCCACTATTTTCCAAGAGCCTATTTTATATAATGAATGTTTTTAAATTTATGAATAGTTCCTTTATATCCCAGAGTATGGTTTTTCTTGGTAAATCTTTCATGTGGACTTGATAAGTATATGTATTCTTCGTTGTTGCTGAGAATACTAAGAATACTCTGTAGATGACAATAAGGATGAGATGGTTGATAGGGATGTTTAAGTCTTTTATTTTAAAGTATCATGATATTATGGGTAAGCAGAATGATAGATCATACATATGGATAGTATATATTCCTGTGTATAGTGTATAGCTCCCAGGATTTATTATGAAAGTGAAGAAGTTTCACAAGTTGGAGAATCAGAAAATCTGGTGAGACAGTTCAGTTTATTTGTAGGGGAACTGACACCATGATTCAGTCTGAGACCTAAAGCCTGAGAACGTGGGGAGTTGTTGATACAAGTCCCAGAGTACAGAACCTAAAAACTTGACGTGCTGGCATTGAGGGCAGAAGGAAACATTGAGAAGTGGAGAATTGGGTAGCTGACTTTGCTCTTCACCTCCTGGACCCTGTTTCTCTGTCATTCTCTGACAACTTGTAAAATTTTTGGCATAAGTGTTTCAGGCTTCTCTTGAATGTTCCTTTCTGTAGTTCTAGAATCGACTCTTTTTTCCGTAGAGTTCTAGTTCTTTTAATAGAAAATATTTTGAGTATCTAAACAATTTACTATGTGTGGAATCTTAGGGTTACTGTATTGTGCAATTATAAGTAATGCTGCAGTAAAAGGCACTGTACAGATATATTTTTGATCATTATGTATTTTCAGGATAAATTCCTGAAAGTGGGATTTCTGTATTAAAATGTAAATATGCATGTGGTTTTGTTGTATAGTGCCAATATAACTGTACATTTTTTGCAGAGATTTTACACCATTTGATACCATTTTCCATATTCATCAGAACTATACGATGTTACCAGCTTCTGCTTACTCTAGGCAGAAGTGTATGTTGTCAGGCTTTTGAATTTTTGTTTATCTGATAGATAAGAAATTATATATACCATGATTTTATTTTACATTTATGTAAAAGCACAAACATATTTTAATATTTCACGTTTAACAATTATTTCATTTTAAAGATTTGTTCTATGGTGCAGATAATTTTACTGTTTTTAAATTTTTTTTTTTTTTTGTACTAGGAACTGAACAGAAGACCTTCACACTGAAATACTTCCCTAGGCCTTTTTATTTTTTATTTTGAGACAGCACCTACTAGGTCCCTAAGTAACCTGAAGCGGGCTTGAATGTGGGGCCCTCCTGCCTCATCCTCGCAGAAAGTTGAGCTTGTAAATGAACAACACTGTCTTGGCTCTGCTTTTCATTTTTTGAAGCAGGGTCTCACTAGTTTCCCCAACAGTGATTAAATTTGTGATTCTTCTGCTCCAGCCTCTGGAGTAGCTGAGATATCAAGCATGTATCTCTATCCCCAGATTGCTGTGTTTTGTCTAGAATTATACCTGTGCAAATACTACTAATTCTATTTTGAAACAGTATAAAGGTACAGTTAATCCCAAATCACACAGTATTCAAAGGGAGTTGTTGGCTTACATTTTAAACACAAAGAGGATTTAATATAAGCAACACTTCAGATATGATGTGAGAATCAAAAGTAATTCACGATGCTTTTTGGTGAATCAGATTTATTATGTGGTACTAACATTGTATATATATTGTATATACAGTATAAAATGTTTTAATATTACATATATAATATATTATCATATATAAAATGTTTTATATATTATATATTGTTATATATATGGTAATACCAAGTACCAAAGTTTCTGCTGTATATACTATGGCATATTCACAAAATACAATGAATACAGCTACCTAATGCCATCAGGGGAAGGCAGGGATCTTTAATACAAGCAGCAGTGTGCCAGCCTAAATCAGGGCATGTGAGATTTCAGCTTGTTTGGTATGCTTATTTGGCTGTAAACTGTGGTTGAAAATAGGTGTGTTTTAAAGTGTGCTATGGAATCATGGGTTAGGAACAGCATTAACATGAAATTTCGTCAGTTTTATTGGAATTGTGAGATTATACATCTTTTTTTTTTTTTTTTAATTTTATTTAAGGAGAAAAGAAAAAAAAGCAGGGAAAGGGTACAAGTTATACAGATTTACAGAAAAAAAATGAACAGTAGGAAATTACTAGTTAATGGATTACATATTGTCATCTTAGAAATAATTGTTCAAGTCACAAAATTAAAGCTTGTAAAGTGGACATTCCATCAATGATACTGCAAACAGTTCTGTTCATTGATCCAATAAAACTCTGTGATATCATTTTCTATCTTATACACTTAAATATACATGCAGTTATATAGTTTGGAGCACTTTCTTTTCCTCTCTTTTGTACCATGACTATTACACATTTTGGGTTTCATTGCTCCCACGGTTCTTATTACTTTTTTGGAAGAGAGTAAAACCAAATGTGACATAACAGAACAGAATCGGTCAAGTCAAAAGGGTGGACATAATAGATAATGTAAAAACATAATACAAGGTGATCAACAATGGTTACCATAATGCCTCCCGCTATCTCTAATAGAATTGCCTATATCATTAGTTATAATACAATTGAACAAAACAGTAAAGAATAAAACCGACAAAACCAAAACATTGGAGACATTGTAGGTCTTCAAAAGTAGATAAAAGTCAACAAGAATGGGCGTCATAATGAATCTCATTATCTTCACAGCTGATGCCTAAACTTTCGAACCTGATACTATCCAGCAAAACAGAATAGGGGAACATCAGTTAAAAACCAGATGGTGAGAGTAATACAGGGCTTTAAATCAAGGTAATGAAAAGTCAAAGTGGGTTACTATAATATATCCTGCTATTTTTTTTCCTTTAATTAAAAGTATAAAGATAAAAAAGTAAATAATGGAGTGGAGATTGAGATAAAAGAGGGCATAACAACGAAACGGCGCAGATCAAAACATAACCATTTAAGCAGAATAGTGTTTCACCACCAGATAATCCTAACCTAAAAGTAGTTACCATATTGTTTCTTTCTTTGAAATCCTTGAGTACAACTTCGTATACTGTAGCATTAAGTATATCAAAACAATGTAAAACCATTCAAGAGAATGACAGCATTACAGAGTATTTAGAATCGACTAACAAAATGAACAATGGTTTCTGTATAATCTCCTTGTCTTTAAAAGGTTTTTGCTTATACTATCGTACATAATAATATCCAGTTTTTGCTTATACTATCGTACATAATAAAATCCAATAAGATACAGCCTATTTAGACCATTGGAGACAGAAGGACAAAAGCTAGATGAGACTTCAAAACAAGATGATACTAAATCTGTATTACCTATTAAGATGTCATTTTCTCCAAAATAGCTGTTCCTATCATCTAATCTTCTCTGCCTCATTTCTGTTAAGCTCTTTTTCTGTCCGTAGCTGTCAGTTTGTCTTCTTCATTTTGTTCTCTGCTCCATTCGTTGTGGCCTCTCTGCCATTATTTCTGGATTCTTTGTATTTTTCTTTTTTTAGAATATCCTGCAATACTCTCTGTAGAGTTGAATTGGTGGTTGCAAATTCCCCCAGTTCCTCTTTATCCTGGAAGCACCTTGTTTTTCCATCAATTTCCAGGGACAGTTGTGCAGGATATCTCAATCTTGGCTGGAGATTATTATCTTTCAATGCTTGAATTATTTCCCCCCACGCTCTTCGTGATTTGATGGTTTGTGCAGAGAAATCTGCTGTAATTCTGATGGGTGTTCCCTTGTAAGTGGTCTGTTTCTTGTCTCTTACAGCTTTTAATATTCTGTTCTTGTATTGAATTTCTGGAATTTTTATTATTATATGCCTGGGTGTTGCTCTGTTTGGGTTGTAGGTAGCTGGGGTCCTGTATGCCTCATACATCTGAGTATCTTTACCTTTTGCTAAATTAGGAAAATTCTCCTGGATTATTTCTGTGAGTAGCTTTTGTAGTTCACTTGTTTGTGTCCCTACTTCTTCTTTTATGTTCTTAATCCTTAAGTTATGGATCCTCTTATCATCTTCTTGTCTTTGTATTATTGCTGTTTGTTTCTTTGTTATTTTTAAGAAGTTTTTCATTTCATTCTCCCATATTACAAGTCTGCCCTCCAGTTCAGATAGTCTGTCCTTAGTTTCTTTCAAGCTGTTATGCCAGTCTTCTATAGACTTCTTAGTATCTTGGTAGTCCCTTTGAACCTGCTTCACGTATTCTATGCTTTCTCTGTTTTCTCCATCAAACAATTCTCCCCTTTTTTTCTGTTCTTCCATTCCACCACCTGTTTTTTCTTGGGTGGTACTTAGCATTTCTCTAACTATTCTGCATACTTCTAGCTTCAGGTCATTGATAACTTCATTCCTGAATTGGTCTATGAGGCTCTCTATATGGTGCCTTATGTGTATTGGTGTGGTGTCTGCTATTGCCTGTTTCTCAGAATTGGAGGCCGAGGAGCCTTTCTTGTTGCTGCCTCTTCCCATGCTGCCTCTTCTTCTCTGTTCCTTATATATGCAAGCTTATATAAGAGGCCCAGCTTCTCTCCCAGTTAGCCACAGCCTGATCGAATTGCGCCAGTTAGGTGTTCCCGCTCACCGCTGCGCACCAGGGAGTTACGGACCAGGCAGCCTACGTGTCTCCCCTCCCGGCCTCCGTCAGGCTCTGCGATCTGGGTTGGGACAGTCTAC